GTGTTAATGGCATCGGCCCAAAAGTATTTTGGAAGATGGTGTTCATTGATCATAGTTCTTCCAAGTTCTTCTAAAACAAGGTTTTTACGTTCCACCACTCCATTTTGTTGCGGAGTACGTGGAGCGGAAAAATTATGATCAATGTTGTATTTTTCACAAAATCTATCAAAGAGATCATTCTCAAATTCACCACCGTGATCACTTTGAATAGTAACTATGCTAGTGTTCAATTTGTTTTGAGAAAACTTGGCAAAATTTTCAAATACCGGAAAGGTGTCACTTTTATTTGCTAGGAAAATTGTCCAATAAAATCTAGAGTAGTCATCTACAATAACAAATCCATAATAGTTACCACCTAGACTTTTAATTCTAGATGGTCCAAAAAGGTCCATATGGAGAAGTTCAAGAGGTCTCGTTGTAGAAACAATGTTTTTAGATTTAAACGAGATTCTTGTTTGCTTCCCCATTTGGCAAGCACCACATAAGCGATCCTTGGATAATTTTAGTTTTGGTAAACCGACTACTAAATCTTTTAAGACAATTTTATTTAACAAATCAAAATTCAAGTGAGCTAAACGTATATGCCAAAGCCATGAGTCCTCACTTAAGGTGACCAGACATTTAGTTCCAGTTACAGATACATTATTCAAGTTAAGCATGTATACATTGTTTACCCTCAAGCCTTTGAAAACATCATTTTTCTTATCATTGTGTTTAATTATGTAACAATCGTTTGAAAAAGAGACATTGTATACTTTGTCGCATAATTGACTAATGCTAATGAGATTGTGTTTAAGACCATAAACTAATAGGACATCATATATTGTAGTAGAAGAGGGATTACCTACACTACTTTTACCGAGTATTGCTCCCTTTTTATTGTCGCCATAGGTGACAAATCCTTTCTTTTTCGCCATAAAGTCACTACGCCAAATAAGCTATTTAATAGCGCTTTTTTTTGTTTTTGATAGCGCTTAAAAGTGCTATTAACCGCGCCACTATTGTAAATATTTCTTATTTAATAGCACTTTAAAAGCGCTATTAAAGTACCAATTTATAATAGCGTTTTAATTAAAGTGCTATCAAAGTCAGTATTTTGCATGTTTTTTGTTTGTTTTTTTATAGCACTCTAAACAAAAAGCGCTAATATATAACATATGTTTGATAGCGCTTTCAAATAAAGTGCTAATAAATGGTACATATTTGGTACAATATTTTTAATAAGTACAGTACAATATTTTTTCTTACACAATCATTTTTTTTGGTGTAAATATAAAATAACTATATTCAATTCAACACAAATAACGCTTTAAGTTACTCATTGCATATATATTATGATCCATCAAATACCAAATAACATTTTAAATTACCAAATCCTATTGTTTCCAAATATCATAACATATAGAATATTAAGAGGGCGTTTGCATAGCCAAATTTGTAGATGCCCATCTATGAGTACTTCAATCCAAATCCAAAAACATACAATCAAATTCTCTAAACAAAACACCAATAATATGTTTGTGGGACCAAGGTCTTGTCTCTCTTCTTCAGATAGAGCTTCTGTTAACTTCTCCTGACATTGATAAGTATAAAAGAAATAACCAATAGTTAGATACAAGTTGCAATTAATGGCTATTCTATCAAAATAAGACACAAAGACTCAATTAATTAAGGAAAATCGAGTTTAATGACTTCAAACTAACTAACAAAATACAAATTCGGTAACAATGATGAGTATATAAAAAGTGTCACATCTATAATGTGAGCATTTTGGAAATAACATCTATAGTGTCACATCTAAAATTCGACTTACACATTAATCCACAACTCTTTGAACATTCTCATTATCAATCACCCCGCTCTTATTGACGCGGGCAGCCTTCCACACTTGACTACGGTTTATCTCACCAACTTCTGACTCTTCTACCTGTATATACATTTTTACAAATTAACATAGCAATTAAATTTTTTTATAATATTGTATAGTACATTTATACACATACTTACCATATCAGCTTCAAGACGAGCACACCCTAAACGTGACTTCATGAGCATCTTTAGGTACAACAAGATTGTTTTCAACTGCCTGAACCTGAACCAATCCTTACATCAGTTTGAAGTTCTCATCTGCTTTGTCTTTTATAAAGCACTTCTCAAAAACAAAAACAAAAAAACTTGAAAGCAGTTTACTTAGAAAACGTACTAATGATTGAATGTGTTCTTGTGATTCAGGTTGATTCTGGCAAATAGAAGTTACTATTTGCGGATACATATCGAGCGTTCTTCCAGAGGATACAACTGCTTGCATGAGATAAGGTTTAAGTTTGAAGGCACAATTTGTAATTACTTTCTCCCCCAAGGTCCAACAAATAGGTGAAATAGTCTGAGAAAATCGAGTAAAACCAGATCATCACAGTGAAATTGATAAATAATGCAGAGGAAAACACAGCACTAATAATGCAAAGTATGTTACCTGGTTCTCCTTTTTTACACTATCTAACAAAGGCCTAAGAAGATCCAAGGAAATATCTTCGCTTTCGTCAAGTATCCCGGTCATTACATTCTCCATTGATTCAATTACATTACTCGGATGGTTTGACCTTTAAATTTAGCAAACAATATCTCAAGTAATTAACAAAACTAGATAGTGTAAGTTTATCCAAGGGGTAACTTGTACAAGAACTGATGCAAATTTTGCAGAACACTTGTTAGATAAAAAATCATTCATGATATGGATTCATCAAATAAGTGAAGGGTCATAAATTATATTAAATCTAACAAAGACATTGCCTACTCACTTTATAGAGATTACATGCATTCATCAAATAAGTATAACAAAAATCAAATCCTTTTCTCACGGCATGTTTCTTATAGGAAATGACATAGCAGAACCAATATCACATCAATGATTCATTCCCTAAAGGTTCAACAATGTTTTACTTCGATCATCAATTACCAAAGTAACAAAAATAATGAAAAACCAAATGGAGGTATTAAATTTCATCTATGCAAGTTTTGAACGAGAACTACGTAGCACTGGTTCTTCAAATTGAAGGCATATTCGGTGTCTGACACTGACGCGACACCGACACATGTGGTTCAATTCTATCATTCAATTTATCTAATAATTACAGCTTCTGAAATGTCAACGTCAACGGCATGTGTCTGGTATCCGTGTTTGAGTCAGTGCTACATAAACCAGAAGTAACATAAAAATATATGTTGTGAGTGCGCTAACCTTATAATTCTCAGGAACTGTTGAAACATCTCCATAACCAGGTCATCACACTCAAGGTCCAGCATAATCAAGAACATTTTGATCTTTGAAAAATTTTCAAGTATGCTAATTGCTTTTTCATAGCTGCGGCCAGATACATGTGACAATTTTTCAAAAGCTGACACGGCCAGCTTCAAAAATTCCTGTCCACCATGAAATGAGATGTTTTTTCTGTACAACTTGAAAACTATCTATAATATATAGTATCTACAATGAAAATTACATCAAGTTAAAACAAGTAAGTACCTTCATCAGTTCATCGTCATAAGGTGCATCCGGTGCTGTAATTCTTGTAATCTGAGTGAGACAAGCTGTAACAGAAATCTTAACATCCTCGTCTGCGTGTCTCAAAAGTTGATCAGAAATCAATGTCTTCATTGGAAGTACAAGTGATCCTTGAATTTTCTTGGGTGGATCATGATCCAAGATTGATAATATCAGCTCCAATTTCTAAAAGTTTGAATCACCAAATACAAGGGGGGAAAATCAGAATTCAATCAGTCTTATAAGAACAGAAGCACAAGATTACATATTCAAGATATACAATTGAATTCAACAAATCCAGCAGAAACATAAACATATATCAATAGATATGAAAATTAGTAGAGAGAACATAAGATCAATTTGTAAAACACAAATCTAGAATATAGATATGTTAGAACAGAAACCCTAGCTCAAAAGAATCTGATACAAAAAGCGCAAACAAATAACGAAATTTGATCACAGAGTTCGGCCAAGTGTACCTGCATTTACCAAATAAAATACTAGAATTGGTTTATATCATTACCCTAAATCATACCTATCAGCAAACTATGAGTAATAACCAACAAGACACAAAATTGAGCAAAGCAGGAAGATGAATTCAGCAAAATTCATGACACAAAAATGAAGCAGAAATGAGATAGGTTACATCAAGTAATTGAAGAAGCTTATCAACTGAAGAAGTCAAGTTTTTGGATAGCTGTCTTCCAACATGTCTCAGCCAATTCACTGTATCATCATCAATTAAAACAATGCTATCAGTAGAACAAGCCATGTTTTGCTCACAATTACAGCACACAAAACCCTAAAAATCATCAATATACAACTCTACAAAACAACAGAAGCCTTATCACTCAAACTAGAACAAACTCTAATGACCTATCAAATTTTGTCTTCAACACTCTTTCTTTCGGTGACTTAACTCCATTCACAACATTCAACTCAATCTCACTCACAGCCAAATCAATTCTACTTAACTTCTCATTCTTTGGTATCCCCAAGAAAGTAACCTTTTCAATGATCCATTTTTGGTCCAAAGCAAATTTTCCATTTGTAACATTTGATCTTACAGAAACACTATTGTTATGAAATTCACTTTAAAATCTAACAAATGCCCACTGCTCTTTCTCTTCTATATCAACAGCCTCACCATCATTCAAATAAACCTGTCCATAACTATTTCCATTTCCATTAAAAACAATCACAAGTTGGAATGCGGTGTTCCTGGCCGCTTCCGTTGTCAATTTAATTAACACAAAATCTGTAATCTGTAATCTAGTCAATTTAAAAATCAAAAGATGCGCGAATGAGTAGTGTTAGCAAAAAGCAATAAAATTAACACAAAATAGAAGTAATCAGTGCACTAATAATAGTTAATACTCCTAGATCACAAAAACAATGAAGTCGATGAACAAAAGAAAAAGGGTTCAAAATTTCAAACCAAGTACAAGAAGCCCTTATATTAGTGATGCACAAGGGAAAGGCTGCATATGAGCACAATAGCATAGACAGCACAATCCATGAAGACAGCATCAGCCACAGTCTTCAGCACCATTCCAATTTCCAATGTTTTTGCAAGCTGTGCATATTGATCAGAAGAATCAGCACTGGCGCTGGCACTGGCGTTGTTCCGTCTCCTCCTCAACCTTTCATCAGAGCCTCTTTGTTTCCCAGAAATAATTTTCGCAACAACAAAAGACGAATTTGTGAGGAGAACCAAGTAAAGTGGTCTAAAGCTTATAATAGTCTTAATCAAAGAGAATCCTAGACAAGAGGCAACAACCAATAAGGCAACTATAATCGAACAACAAATACGCGTAAACCTTGAGGCATCAACGGCATTCGTCACATCCCTAGGGCTTATGAAATCGAAACTTCTAGGTTCTTCGAGCTGGGAAATTTCATCAGATGAATCTTGATGTGTTGTTGGTGGTTGAGGTTGAAATAGAGGTTGTGATTCTTGTACATGTTCAGGTTCAATTTCAGAATTGGGGAAACTTAAAATCTCACTTTCACTGTGTTGTTTTTCAGGCAAAATTTCGGCATCAACGTGATTCTGCAAAACGGAATTCGGATACTCCTGCTCCTCGTCGTTGGCGTGAGGCAGATCTGAAGAAAAGCAGTTGTAAAATCAAAATTGAATTCTAGGGTTTGTAGATGGATGATTACAGAAGCAATAAGAAGAGAGAAAATTGAAATGAAAGAGAAGAGAAGAGGTAGTTACCGGGAGGAGGGAGGGTTTGGATCCGACCCTGGATGAAGGCAAGACGGTCGGATCCTTGTTGGAGGATTCTTCTTCTTCTCCGGGTGTCTCTCAGGTTGTTTGCTTCTGTCATTTTTTTCCCCTTCCTCTTTACTTCAGCTCAGGCTTTGTATTGCCAACTGACTCAAATCCTTGAAATTTTTGTTTCTTTATGGTTTTGAGTTAACTCAATGCTGCTGCTAAAGAAATGTTAACTTTGATCTTAGTTCATTCATTTTTTATATAAATATAGTTTAAGGTTTTTTTAATATTATATATATAACATAGCGCTTTTTAATAAATGCTAATATATAGGTAGTCAAATAATAGCGTTTTATACAAAATGCTATCTTAAAGAAGTTTAATAATAGCGTTCTGGTACAAAGTGCTATCAAAATTACATAGTCTGTATTATATAATAGCGCCCGATTAAAAAGTGCTATTATAAATGTGTTTTTTCCATTTTAATAGCATTTTTTTTAAAAGTGCTATTAAATTAGGTGATACAAAAAATCATTTTTGGCGTAGTGAGTCAAAAAATAGGGAGATGTCGCCCGTCATATGTCTTGAGCATCCACTATCGAGAAAGCATCTTTTCTCCGTAGTCTCAAGACATTCCATATTGCTTTCTTTATTTTGATGAGCCATGAGATAAAGGTTGACCATTTCTTCTTCGTCACTAGTGTCACTTTTGCTTGAAGCTTCACTATCACTACCCCAAGCAATGTATGCTCTTCTAGCTTTGTTAGGTCTCTTTTGGAATTTGTCTTTTCCTTTGTCTTTCTTGAGAAATGGACATTCCGGTTTGTAGTGATCGGGTTTCCCGCAGTTGAAACATGATCCTCTTGATTTAGATTTCTTACCTTCATCTTGTCTTGAAGGTTTTGATTGGCTTCTATAATTGATATGATTTTTGTCCGAGTGTTGAACTTCTTTCTTTCGGAGATATCTATGATATTTTCTCATAAACAACCCCGTGTCTTCACTTGAGCTTTCATCATCATCACTAGAATCACTCACACATGAGTTATTGGCGGAGGACTTTGAGCTTGAAGCCTTTAATGCAATAGACTTCTTTTTCGTGTCTTTTGGTTTTTCTTTCTTTTCCTTTTTCTCGTGCTTATTGAGATTTATGAGCTCTTGCTCATAACCTTGAAGCTTCCCAAACAATGTTGTTATGTCAAGTGTAGCTAGATTGTTGGCTTCATTGATTGCTGTAACTTTAGGTTGCCATTCCTTATTAAGACATCTCAAAATTTTGTTAGTAGCAACAACATTGGGAGTAACATGACCAAGAGTGTGTAAGCGATTGATTATATGAGAAAATCTCTTTTGCGTATCCATAATGGTTTCACCATGCTTCATGTGAAAGAGATCAAACTCTTGATTTAATGTATTGATTCTACCAAGTTTAACATCATTTGTCCCCTCATGGGCAATTTGTAGAGCATCCCACATTGCCTTAGCAGTAGCACAATGTGAAACTCTAAAATATTCATCAACACCTAAAGAAGCAATACACATATTTCTACCTTTCCAATCATATCTATACTTTTTCTCGTCTTCCTCATCCCATAGTGCTTCCGGTTTGGGTATGGTGATGTTATCCTCATTATTCATGGTTATTTGCATAGGACCATCCTCGATAACTTTCCATATCTTTCTATTAACAGAGTTAATATGCACACACATACAATCTTTCCAATAACTATAGTTTTCACCTGTGAAAACAGGAGCTCTCGTATAAGCCCCTTTTGGATCGTTCTCCATATTCTACAAAGTAATATGTGAAGCACCAAATAAACTGGTGCTCTGATACCACTTGTTAGACGATGTGATCGATCTAGAAGGGGGTTGAATAGACCGTTTAAAATGATTTGCGCTTTTTAAAATTGTTTTTATGAAACATATGCAAAATCTCTTGGAATCTCCAATCATCTAAACAATCCTCTATTGAAAAGATCGGATATGCGTAACCGTATGGGATAGGATGACAAAGTAAGGATCAATATTTTTTACTCAATTAGTCAATCACTTATACACCCTCAGTGAGTATGAATCACTTCCAATGAGTTGATTAAGATAAAGCTAAACACAATGAATAATTTGTGGACGAGTCAACTTGTCAAACACCTTATGTGCAAAGCACCTTATGTTTGGTTTTACTAAATTATAGTGGTGAGTTTTCTTAGGTATCAATTAAATGGATTGTTACCAATGTTGTGAAATGATCTCAACACACTACAATTTCAATACAAGCAAATTTAACAATTTAATTTCCACAAATTATAATAGTTAGGTATGGAAATAAAGAAAAATAAGAAGAACACATGATTTGTTAAGGAAGTTCCCCTTTTCATCCTCACGCAGGGTACGTCTCCCCCAATTTTAGAATCTAGAATTGAGATATTTGATATTAAGTTGTGAATGTTACAAGAGAAGAGATAATTCACAATACAAATAAACCAATGTTGTTGTTGTAACAGTCTTCTTCCCTTTCCTTGGTTTGAGCCAAACCAAATGCTAAATTCTTTGAACAAACCTCCAGTTACCGCTACTTGATTAAGAAAACCCACCGTTTCTTAATCCTTTCACTCGGCTGATTTCAATCACAAGCAATTTGACCCTAAATATTCCTTCACAATCCTCCGGTTACCGCTACTTGATTAAGCAAACCCACCATTTCTTAATCCTTTCACTCGACTGAATTTAATGAAGTAAAGACTTGTGCAAAAACCTCCACACCAATTGGAATCTTGGAGGAGAAAATCCAAATTATTTTATTCAAGAACAGTCCACAATTGCTCAACCCAAATTTGAATTGAATCCTTGATTTGAACGTTATCACCATAACACTTTTCTTGAATCAACAACCATGATTATGTGTAGATGTTGATTATTGAGAAGAGAGGATGAAGATGAGGAGCACTATGTGTATATTTAACTAGTTCTTGTTAATTGCTCAAAAGGAATCTAAACTCTATTTATATGTGTTAGTGAAAAACCAATAATATCTGAGAAAGAATGAAAATAAGGCAAACAAAATTTTGAGTGTGTTAAGTGAGCGGTCAACGGCTCCAGAGCCTTGAGTCAGTGCAACACAACCCGCACCAAGGAGATGAGCCAAACAGATTGAATGCATCGATGCTCCAGAAGCTTGGGTCGGCACAACACAACCCGTGCTTTGAAGATGAGCCAAACAACTTGAATACGTCGACCGCGCCAGGGGGTTGCATCGATGCAACCTTCAATTTTCTTGACCATCAGGTTGAGTCGACCAAGGGGTCGGCACAACACAACCCGGGAGAAGCACAATGCTTTGAGTCGACCAGAGATAGTTTGCATTAACGCAGGCTTCATTTTTCTTACCAAAAAAGTTATTTTCATCAAAGCTTTCATCTCACACTTTGTCCCAAGTATATTTTATGTAGCACACATGTCATTGAGGATAGGAGAGGTTTTGACATCATGAAAACATGAATCTTTCCCTCACATGGCATCCCTAAAAGGATCATCACGGACAATGGTACCAATCTTAACAATACTATGATCACAAAACTCTGTATGCAGTTCAAGATTAAGCATCACAATTCCTCTCCGTATCGACCAAAGATGAATGACACAGTGGAAGCCGCCAACAAGAATATCAAGAAGATATTGCAGAAGATGGCAGTGTCTTACAAAGATTGTCATGAGATGTTACCATTTTCTCTACATGGTTATTGCACTTAGGTACGTACATCAACTACAGCAACCTCGTTCTCCCTCGTCTACCGCATGGAGGCTGTCTTACTTGTTGAAGTCCAGATTCCTTCCCTAAGGATTATGAAAGATGCAGATTTAGATGAAGACAAATGGATTCAGACTCGACTTGACCAGATAAATGTGATTAATGAATGTGGTTGTTTGTCATGGTCAGATGTATCAGAAACACATGATCAAGGCCTTTAATTAGAAAGTCAAACATCAGGTGTACTAGGCCGGTGATTTGGTAATAAAGCGCATTATCCTACCACAAGGTGATCCCAGGGGCAAATGGACTCCCACATACGAAGGGATATTTCTGATCAAAAAGATATTTTATGGCAGGTCTATGACACTTCCCACAGAGCAATCTACATGGAACTATCTGTACAGAACTATCTTCACAAGCTCATCCCCAATAAAGATATATTCGTCAACAAGTCTAATATGCCCTCAGACAGGAATTGGGGCATCTTCCAGCAGTTCACCTCCATATCCTTGATGGATAGCTTGACATCTTCCCCAATAGGTCCCCTAGTGGATAAGGACGTTTGATCATTTCCCCAACATACAGTGGAAGCTTCCTCAGCGTAGCCTATGAATTACCAATCCCCATCATAGATTATTTCGCCAACACAGTCTACATGACTTAATTCCTTAATGAAGTTTATTTCTCCAATTATGCAAATTCCCAGACAAAGTTCTCTTCTCTAGCCAGATGTCATTCAACGCTGTCTTCCCCAGAAGAGTTGATACCCATATTTGAGACCTAGTCAGATAGCACATCATAGGAATATCCATCTATTTTATCCCTAGTCAGGGTATATAAGAATCATACCCTTTAATAAAAAGAACAACGAACGAACTACTTTTCTGGAATGCTTATATCCCCAAGTAGAATTCGAAGATCCCCAGTCGAATATCCTCAAACAGAAAGCGGGAATCCCCAGTAAAGTCATTCTAAACAAAATTGAAGAATTATTTTTTTCATCACCAACAATAAACAGGGATTTATTTTCCCCAGCTAGACGTTGTTACAAGAAGCTACTGATGCACTCCAACGCCATATTGCATTCATACATCATTTATAAAATATCATAACATATGCATACGAAACGTATATAATATTCTCATTTATTTTGGGAGCATCATTGTGCAATGCATTACATACATCATGATATTTCATAAAACTAACTTCATCTTTTTCAGGTTAGTTCCTTAACACATAGATATTGTCAATAGTTTATCACCTTTTAGATACAATCAAACAGTGATTCATTCTGATAAACAGACCTTTCAGATACATTCAGACGAAGACTCATTCTGATCCACTTCTAGATACAGTCGGGC